AGCTGCAATCCCCCCCCCCCTAAAAAAAAAGGGAGGGAGAGGGGAGGGGGGGGGGCGTAATGAGCCGCGAGCGCTCGGTCGCAATTAATCAAGGTCGCGGGTGCGTCATCATCGCCTCTGGGAACCACCAAACTGCCCCGCCGTGGGGCCCGGCGAACGTTGGCGCGACTGCTGTTATCGGACAGAGCGACGTCACGGAAGCAACCATTGGCGGAGAGCAGCGCTCCCTTTGATTGAGATCGTTTTCGGACGACGACTGCGGAAAACAGAGCTGCCCTATCTAATCCGCCAGACTGCCGAGTTCTGTTCTAATTAGCGAATGACATCCGATCTCGCTTCCCCCGTACGGTCGAGCGAGGGAGTTTTTCCTTCGCGATCGTGTTGCGTTGAAACCAGAGCCCCGGAGCCGTGCTGTTGTCTTGGCTGTCCGTTGCCAAGTTAAAGTCGCTGAGTGTTCAAGAGACTCGAGATGAGGGGGTGACGGCCTTTCGGGCAGTACGAGTGCTAAACAGTACCAGCAGGAACAGATTATGGAAAACGAAAGCATTTAGGGAAGCTGGGGAGTCAGGCAGGCAAACCCGTCAGCTAATATCTAAACCATCGAAACACTTGTGCGTTTGGTTTTTCGATTGACTTCGCATATTCGATTGTTACGCAAGTATCAACCAAAATTTGGCTATGGTAAGTTTGTCGACAATTTTTTTTTGGTTAGTTTATGACACAGAAGTATTACCCCGATGTTCGTATGTCGACACTCGACAGAAACTGTTCGTTGGTTGTTTTCTCGTTGGAGCTGTCCTTGAGGGATCCTTACGAGACTTCGCCGGTGTTTCTTGCACGTAATTAATGTAAACGTGCTTGAATATTGCGTGAACTGAAAAAGAAAGAAAATAAAACCATCTGCAATATTGCTTCGGTTGATCTCAAGAAACTTCGGGGCTTCCCGATTCATTCGACAATACATATCGTTTTTTGTTCGAATTGCAATGGTCACAAGTCATCCTAGTGAAATCATTGAATGATTAATCGATTAGCGTTCTCTTTATTGAGCCTTGGGGCAAGTCCCCGTACTTAGACTGCACCGTGGTGCGAGGGAGGGAATGGTAGATAAAGGGCTCAGTGTGGGTATTTGTGTGCGTATGTGTGTGTGTGATTGGGGGGGGGGGGGGGAGAAAGACGGGGTTAAGTGGAATGGGATTGGATGAGACGGAATCTTCACTTTACGAATGTACTCGAGAAGCGAATCCAATATGGTCTTCCGGTGCATTGCCTTTGCGATGGATCCATTCTTCCAGCGTCGTGAGTCTGGTCGCGAAATGGACCGGTTGAAATTTCGAACTCCGTATTTTGACTACCGCACTCTTGACAATGACAAAAAATGGCTTTGAAATATCGAATCAGTTTTTGTAGCCAATAATATCCGACGTTATTGTTCACGGCGTGCCTAACTTGCGATGCGTTGTATCGTGCATGTCACAAGTGAGATTTTAAACTCCTAGAATGGAGCGAGAAATGCAATTAAAGGCGTAATTCATCTCGATGTTCCCCTGCTTGACACCAAATTGCGAGAAACTTTTCATCCAATTTACAACAATTTTGTGTCATCAAATTATCAATCTCGGACTAACTGATGAGCAGCCCTATACAGCGTCCGAGCGAGTAGCTCGATGTGCGCGCACGGCCCTTGTCACTTCCGATGACCAGGCCGCCTTGTCCCAAGCGCAAAGCGGACGGCTCGCAGCGATTGCGCCATCGATTAAAAACATCGATCTCGACAGATGACATCTAACTACGCCGCGCTCTGCAGCGGCCTGACAAATTTCGAAATTACAGAGTGTTCTTCACGGTCGATTTGTGCTTGTGCAGTCGGGCGTCCACCGTGTCGATGGTTCCCAATCGCGTCGCTGTTCGAGGCTCGCGACAGCCGGGTTGGTCACGCGAATTTAGACACGTGCCAATACGCTTATAAGACTTTGTGCGTATTCTCGGCCGTGTCAGAAACGTGCGCAGGTCACGATGAAAGGAATTGAAAACGCCCTGTAATCATGCAAATAAGAAACTTTTTTTTTTTTTTTGTCACGTTAAGTTTTTGTATTGTTTGGGTCTGATGAAATCCGCACTTTCAGCGAACGAGTTTAATTTACAGGCCCATGTCACCCCCGACCGCGAGCGCTGATAGCGTTGTGTAATAAGCCGGTCTCAAAACGCAAAATTGAGGATGTTTCAGATATTACAACAAACGATGTCAAAGGAAGATTACTTGTTACTCATTTCCTTTTCAGGTTGCAGCGTTTATTTTTCAATTCACGCTCTTTTAATAAAGTCATCACATCAAGAGCCAAAGGATAAAGGTTTGGGTAGAGTTTAATTTTGATCACTTTGAAAAGAGAAGCCATAATCCTTGTTTTGGGTTCGGAAAGTCTTTCACTGAAAAGCATGTATAATGCATGCGAAAGAAACCTCGGTCTATAAAAGCCTCCGTCAAAGGAAATGTGCTACAGCGTTACTGAGCGGTTCGGGGTCTATTTAAAAGTGGTTTCAAATAAGAAACTAATTAGCTAGCACTGAACGACTTTGAAGGAACGTACCAACCATCACTTCTTCCATAAATGAGTTCTAAATATGTGGTAGAAATTCTTCTAAGGTTACACTAGAAGCATTTACTTTTGGTCAAGCACAATTCGAAGTGACAAAGATTAATACTCCTGCCCCTGCGAAGACGTCCAGCTGCTATGAGGCTAATACCCTGAATGTTTATTGTTAGTACTAGGAATACAGGTTGTTGTAAGGAACACTGAACAAAACGCTCCTGCAAAAAGTATGTGTTACGCAGAAAAAAATTTAAACAGAGCCGATGCCAATAATTGGCCTTTGCCAAAAGGCCTTTTTAGAAAAAATAATAGCGCTGGGTGTAACTAGCTTTCTAGTTACTATTCAGTACTTCACTTTTTAGTAGCAAATTTAAAGGTAGGGTTTCACTAGAAAATATCTGTGCATCTTCGAGAACTTCTAAATCAACGCACTTTACAAAGATATAAGGCACGCGCAGAATTTCAGTGTTCTGGGAAAACACTTAATTCGGACGCGTTTCGAAGTTTCGGTCTGAGATCCAGACTTGTGCTCGTTACTTGAAAGATGCAATTGATTATAATTACAAACTACGGAGCTTCAAATGTAATTGATTACCGTTACAAATTACTTTCGCTGAAAAGTAACGGATTACTTTACTCGTTACGTTGGGGGGGGGCGTGATTTCTGGCGCATGCGGTTCGATAGGAAACGGGAATTTAGAAGAAAAGCATCCACGTTTACTGTTGTCTTTTTGTATTTTTTCGGATTGTTGTAGAATGCTGCTGTGCCTTATTTTTCCCTAAAGTGCGCTGATTTAGAAGCTTTCGACGATACCCAGAAAGTTTATATTTAAAACTATGTCTTTAAATGTATTAGCTAAAATTTGCATTACTCAAAATTAGTTAAAAATCTAATAATATCAAACACTATGAATTTTTTTAAATAGGCCCTTTGATAGACACCAATTTGACCTATTTTAAGTGCGATGGGTTCTTTTCGCAGGAACGATTTGGTCAGCGTTTCGTGAAACGCTCTGTACAAAACAAAGTAGGCCACACGTTTCCACGCAGCATCAACGCTTTCTTCAGGGACTAAGGAGTTCGTCTAATACTTACAGCATGCCTACTATAGTACATGGAAAGTGGCATACCAACTTGTTCTTGAGTAAGGGGGCAAACCAGACCCCCCCCCCCCCCCCCCCCCCCCCTTCGCAGTGCCGGGGGGGCGGTGCTCTAAGGTATCCCTTGGGTGCCGCCGTCCAGTGTTTGCAGTGGCAGCGGTTTCGGAAGGGCGGGGGAGGGAGGGGGGGGCAAGCGCCTTCCTTGCCCCCCCCCCCCCCCCCCCCCGGGGTTGGTACGCCCATGTTTATGGAGGTCTCTCGAGTTACTGAAGTTTTAAAAAAAAATGTAAACCAATCAGAAAACTTCTTGACGCCTTCCTGAAGGGGCAGGCCATTTGTTGAAATGTTTGTTTTATATCATACACATATATTAGCTAGTATATTTGATAGTAGAAATGCCAGCAATTTCCTGCTTTCCTCCCAAAATGTTTAGCATTATCTAAGGAATCTTAGCGAGCTTAAAGTAAACTCTGTATGCAGGTGAGTTGGCTAAATGTAGATGCTCGAACCTGGAGCGTGGGGAAAGAAGGGGAGAAATATGGGCCTGACAGTGCGGTGGGAGCTCACCGGACATCACCTAACCCGTAGCCTCCTCTACTGACAAAGCCTGGCAGATTGCCACGAGACGCGGCCGCGAAAGTGAAAAGGTAGAGCCGCAGACAAAGAATGAGAGGAGAGGCATGTGATGGGCGCCTCGCTGCGGCGAGACGTCGAAACACACTTGTCCCGAGCGATGGAATGTCCGCTCGTGCCCCTTGCGTTCCTCGCGCTACCGCTTCTTTTCTACTTAAAAATTAAAACCTTGAGACAAGAATTAAAACCTTGAGACTACCGCTTCTTTTCTCGTCAGGTTTGAAAACCATGTTTTGGGTCTTCGCCGCTGCAAAAGCTGTGCGCTGACTACAGGCTCCCCGAGAAGCGCTCTGTGCTATACCAGTTCCTCGCGCTCCAAATCTACGACTGGGCACTCTATGGCTCCGTCGTCGAACTGCCAGGATTTGTGAGTATAGAGGAGGCTATGCCTAAGGCCTAAACCCACTTTCTACAGGTGGGTATGGACAGGAGCGTGATCACGTGGCGAAAGGTAAACAGGTGCCGTCTTCCACGAGCACGCAGCTTCCACGTCACTGTTATTTTAGGGGTAAGCGGAGTATAGCCGCGTGCACACCAAGTGTCGGCCATACCTCCCTAACTGCAGTCGTGTATGGAGGAACAGAAGCCTCTCCTCCCCCTGGTCAAGCCCTCCCACTGCACAACGATCCAGCGTCCGGATGCTACATCTAACGAGACGTCCATTTGTTGTGCGCAGAGGACCCCGTGAAGAGCGGAGTCATGGGAAGCAGCCCAGGCACCCGCGCCTGCTACGCGGCGGCGGGCATTTTCACCCTGTCGGGGTTCTTGCTGTCCGGTGCCAGCGTGACCATCGTCATGATGATCGTGCGCGACGATAAGCTCGACGAGCAGCTTTGGACGGCCGCCGTCCTCGTGGTCGGCGTCAGCTTCGGCGTCCTCTGCCTGGGCATCCTCGTCTGCGCATGCGCCATGTGCAAGCGCATGGCTGCCAGTCAGGCCGCCCTCGACAAGGCTGACGCGGTCCAGGACAAGGGCGTCCGGGCCCCCCTCACCGGGACGCCCGCTGTCTTCCCCACCGTGACCACCGTGCGTGTCTGGAGTACCACGGGCTCCCTGGACCCGCTACTGCCGGGACAGGTGCCCGACAGCCCCTCGGAGACCGAGGATGACGACGCACCTAGGGCCGCCGAATCCCAGGAGGCCGCCTGAGGTTTTCTCGGCCGTCGTGCTAACGCGCACGGCCGTGCGCGATGCATCCTGTGCAACTGAGAAGCGCGGGCGGACTTGTGGCGGTGATATGAAGGGCTCTCGGGGCTCGTGTGCGGTGCTGATGACGGCCGTGGAGACCTGAGGTCGGCGAACGGAGCTGTGACTCTGACCCGATGCTCCGGTGTCAATACAAAAGACCCGCTTGGTGCGCTCGTTCAGACAGATGGGTTCCGGTGTCGTAACTATCTCCGCGGCAACTGCCCCTTCCGAAACCGTGTGGAGGTTCTCTCCGCCCGATGAGTGAGCGGCAGTGGTCGTTACATTATGTACGCTTCTTAGTCTGAAAACCGTCTTTGCTCCGTGGTATGATCGTCACTGTGTGAAGCGGAAGCGATATGTACATATGCCTAGTACGTGTACAAAGGGTCTGTCATGTCATTCATTCTATTCGAGAATATAGGGGACAGAAACAATACTTGGAGGCGCAAGAAAAGTCTGGTTGCTTCACCTCTAGCAGGCACAAAATGTCTAACCCTCGGAGAGCGCATTTATATTCACACACCTGAAACTGCTGCTGCCAATAAATCCTGGGGATCGCGCAGATAAAGTTCGCACAACGGGTCAGGAAGACTCGCGCTCGTGAGCGGAGTCAGTGTAGTGGTTCTCCCTTAAAATTACTATGCCAAAGTATAAATAACCCAACCGCTGAAAAAGGCTATTTGTAGAGACAAGCTAAGTATTCACTGAATGAATCCAGTGATACGACGCCCCCCCCCCCCCCCCCCCCCCCAAAGAAAAAAAAGGGGGATTTCCCCCTTTCCCACACACACACACACACACACACACACAAAATGGTTATGAGGTTAATAAGCACACCAAACATTCAAGAGACACCTAAGGGGCAACTAAGTATGAAAGCAAAACGATCAAACGATTATTTTTCCCACTCGGGTCCGAGACATCCTACTTCAATATTATATTATAATATTGTGCTTGAAGACTTTTTTTTGTATCTGGGAATTTCGGCAACAAATGCTACGTTAGAACATCAAGCTGATTTCGCCTTTATTGGTTTTCATCGACGGTCACATTTTGCTAAGTTGGCTATTAGGTAAAGCCTCGGTCAAGATCTGCACAAAACTAACGAAAAACATTCACACGGTTCAGCGGAACGCTGTTTCGGAATTCATTTATGCGAATTTTAACTTTCAAAACGAACGAAGAAAGTATGCTGAGGTTGAAGAACGGACATTTTGTTTTTCTTGCGCGTTTTTCTTTCGCCAGCGCGTGTGTAATGTCAGTTAATCGATGGATCCCTATAATTAATTAATTGATAGGAGTTCAGAACGACATTTAATTAGTATATCGACCGAAGATGACCTACTTGACATGTTCTACTTGATCTGATTATTTTTGAAGACGCAAACCTGAAAAGATACTTTCAAGTTTCTCAACAGTACTTAAAGACCTTTATTCATATTTTTCTGTTGGATATATATATTGTTTTGTCTTCAATTGTGGCTTTATTAAGCTGAAGTTGTAATCAACACCAGATACGCAGGTAGCTAGAACTTGGAGGTTCTCATTTATTGCTGCACAGTTTTGCCTCTCAAAAATTTGAACGTAGGAACTTAAATTCACGTCACAATGATGAAATCGAGTTCTGTAAGTTCATGATAACTTAACGCATTATCGAATTGAAGGAGGTTCCATTCGATAATACACTAAAAAAAAATTCGATCTTGAATGGGTTCAATTTGATAAACGCTAATGCATGTGGCATATCAAATGCAATCATAAACAAAATTGTTCTTCTTTTTTTGCCAGAAACAATAAAGAAAATACTTTCAAGTTAGGGAACATTTATAATTATGAAAACCCGAGATTGAGGGACCAAAGAAATTGGATATATCCAGAAAGAAACAGTCACAAAATTTTGTTAAAACAGTGATGGCGCAGGCCAGCTGGTATAAATTTACCACTACTTCAACCACCTGAGACTGGGTGGTGAATACGAAGAATCCAAAGTGGAAGAGAAAGAAACAAAATGACAAAAGGCAACGTCTCAAAAATTGAGACGTTGCCTTCTGCCATTCTGTTCCTTTCTCTTCCACTTGGATGCTTTGTATTTTACACCCAGTTGATTCTGAGTCGAGACTAAGCCAAAATGTGAAGAACTGGGAACAATATGTGAGAGGCACATTCTATAGTTTTGCGTGTTTCTGTGCAGCACTCTTGAAATGCACTTCGGTTTATTTCCCCGTTTATTTTGGCCAATACTAGCTTCGTTGTCTCCCTCTGTCATGCCGACGTAGTCACAGAACGTGCCTGCCTCGATAAAAACATATCTTCATCTCCAAGTGATTCTTCCGGCAACAAAACTCAGTATGTCGAATACTGAGTTTTGACACGAAACCACAAGGCTTAATGTCTCTCCTATGAGAACGCAGGTCGAAACGCGTATGAGTTGAGTCAGTGCCTCCTATATAAGTTACACTATGCCTGTCAGCTCCGAGCGCTGGCAAGCGGAAGGGACAGGACAAAGAGTACAGAGCGCGACACTGTTAGCGCGAACAAGCGATCGCCGGTTTTTCCAGTTTTTGTCTTTGAAACTAAGGGATGACATCCAAGTCATTATTGCTACTGAAAGAGCTCAATTAGCTCTATAATGTAAGCGATAAAATTTCGTGCTGGCTAATACTATTTAAAAGAAAAAGGCGAAAATGTGCGGACGTCGTGTTCGCGCTAACAGTGTCGCGATGTGTACGTGTGGTTGCCGTGCGGTGGAGCCACCGAGGCATACAAACCTGCCATGTAGTGAAGCCAACCATCTCTTCCGTAGGAGATTCAATAATGTCGCCCCAGCAGTACCGACAGCAAGAAATCTAAATGTTTTTGACTGACAGCTCGGGACCAGCCCGCCGTTTTCAACGGAATATTACTTCTTATTTTCCTACCTTTTCACCCGCACACCACCCGGCGCCAACTATTTCTATGCGCGCGATTCAATGTGACCGCCAAAGCCGCAAACTGCCGCCAAAGCAGACGGTCAAGCGGCCAAGTGTTCTCCGCGTTCGCGATGCAAAAGCGAAGCCTGGCTGTGCTTGTTTCGTAGTTTCGTATTTTGTCTCAGCAAACCTCGTTTGAATCAGGGCGGTCACATGCAGAACAGTGTTCGGCACGTTGTTAAAAAAAACATATATATGATATATCTCCAATAATAAAGTAAATACAACATGCTAAAAAATGGTCAAAACGAACGTCCGCCAGGCGGCGCTACCTATCTGTACGTGCGTGTTGTGAGGTGAAGCATCGGGCCTGGACCGGTCTTGGAGAGTAGCTGACAGGCATAGTGTAACTTATATAGGAGGCACTGGTTGAGTATATGTTTCTGGATCTTGAACAAGTAAATACCCTGAAGTTCGGAACATACTCAGCGCTTCCTTGCTAAGCACGCATGTATCAGGTGCACTTGAAACGCATTGGATTATGTACTTACCTGTAGATACCGACCAGTGACGTCACTAAGAGGGGGGGGGGGGGGGGCGGATCGCCCCGGGTGCAGCTGGGTAGTTAAAGGGGAGGAGGGTTGGCTCTGTTGTCGCGCCGAGACACCAGAGCCGAGGGGAAGGGGGTAGCGGAGGGGAATCGCCCCGGGTGCCGCTGGCCCTGCTGACGTCACTGGTACCGACTGTTCGACCCCAACTGGTTGTCTCAACCCTCCTTATTTTGACAACCCCAATGCCCTTCAGGAACGAAGGAACGCATGCATCCAACTGCATTTTTTTTTTTTTTTTTTTGTAACGAAGCAAGACCGTGCCAAGACTCGGAGCAACTTACAGCCGCCCTCCTGCTATTCATTGTCCATATTTCGAGTGTCAACTGTTGTGACACTTCACACCTGTGGATCATAGGAAAAAGATATGTCTGGGAAACTTCCACGACACTCGCGTCCAAACGTTTTACATATAGCGCCGCGCAATTATGCTAACGTACGTGAGTGACCAAGCGCGTTCGTATGTTTGAGTTTGTTTTGTCCAGGACTGTACATGTAGCGGAAGAATAGCGTTCGATAGCCCTGAATGTTCGCAAAGCGATGCCGCAGGGCCAAACGTAACCAGGGGCAAACCCAAGAAGATCAACAAAAAAACTGATGTCAGTGAATTCACTGGCTGCAAAGCGCGGCACCTACAGCCGTCGCAATTATTTCAGTTTGAATTGTCTATCGCCTACGTGGAGTAACTGTAGCACTGTAAGATAGACAGTGTGATATCGTGTTCTATAGGGCATTGTTCTGGAGCGGACGTCGAAATTTCCAGCGTCCCAGTTTTCCACCGTATACCCATTAAAGGATATGGCAAGAAAAAATGTAAAAATCACTATGCTCACGCTAAACTTATTACCTGGTATCTTCGCAAGCAGAATAAATGAATACTAATCGCACGAGAAATCAGGACAGCGGTATGACAAAAGACCTGTCATTGGTGCAATAATGAATTTTCCTTTTGGACAATTCGGCCGAATACAGATCCAGAAAGTTAACGGCAAAACAGAACAAAAATTGTGGGGATCACCGTAAAGCCGGTCATTTAGTGAGCGTGACTTTCTGGGAGAAAATTTCAGAGATTGAAAAGTGTGCGCCTCGCACTTTGGATTGTAGAAATTTGCGAACGCGTCTGAATTTGCCTACGTCTAAAAGTCCTACTGCCATGGTAGCGGCGTTGTTAGCCTTCCTTCGCTCTGAAGTTCATTTCAGTAAGCGACGCGACTCGATCCAGGTGTCGGGACAAGTGCCAGACAGAAATGTCGCGCGTGAATGCCTGGCCCTCAGCTTTTAGAGTTAGGAACAGACTGAGAAACGCAGGACTTATTATGATCAGACTCATTAGGATCAGGCAGTAATCTCGTAGGCCGCAGAGCGATAATAAGATATCCGGGACTGACCGCGCCTTGCGTTTTTCAAGATGTCGGTGGCTGGAGCAATGTTCAAAATGGAAGCACGCGTAGTCCGACTGGTTACCGTGTATCGCTGTGTCGGCTATTCCGTGGAAGGCTATCGGTGTCTGTGAATGTCACCACTGCATTTATTCACACACGCCCTCGTTAACAGGGCACTACCCCGTGGGTTGTTTGTACGCGCTTGTTCATTCTGGTGTGGTCATCTGCGATGACCAGTGCGGACGATACTGGTTGAAATAAAACCCTCTCCAAGGTCTGTTCACTGCAGTTGCTTCTGTTTGTTTGGGTTTTGTTTTGTTTTGCCTCATTAATGTCTAGTTTAAGTCAGGCTCGGTTTTGTCGTCAAAGTGGCGGGATCTCTGAGGGAGCCCTATAGGGACATCGGTTATGTGCACGAGTATTAATCACCCGCAGCAAACAGCCGATTGCAGCGGTGGCGAAGTTTACTCGCCAAGTTTTCAGACGTTGCGGGTTACGTATATGGTCAAGGATATGCGCGGTATGAATGTGTCAGGAGTTATTTCCGCAAAATAGCTTTCTGTTTATTATTCTGACGGAACATGTGCAGCAAAAGATTAGTCCCCTCTTCGACGTTCACTTTTATTCTATCCCTTCTGTCTAACTCCCCAGAAGTAACATTAAGATCGACATTGATTCATATAAACCTATCCGAGTATCGCGACCACAGAGACACAACAGGCTCCAGCAAGGCGAAGGTGAGTAGGTTTGGATTTTCCGCCCTCGTCCTAGGTCTTGGTTTTGCTTTTGGGCGC